ATATTTTTCTTTATTAAATAGATCATCCGTTCTAAGAGATAAAGGGTTATTTTCACCAATGAAGTACCACCATCTGTAGTGTTTGTTTGTTTGATAAAGGGTTATTTTCACCAATGAAGTACCACCGTCTGTAGTGTTTGTTTGTTTGATAAAGGGTTATTTTCACCAATGAAGTACCACCATCTGTAGTGTTTGCTTGTTTGATAAAGGATTATTTTCACCAATGAAGTACTACCATCTGTAGTGTTTGTTTGTCTTAGAGCAAAATCACATTGGGCTATCTGCTGTGTCTACTGCGGGGAATCGAACACCGGATTCTAGCATTGTAAGCCCATAAACTTACCGCTGTCCCACCGGGGGACCAGTTGTAGTGAAAATCAAGGGAAGATATTGTCGTTCCGAGCTTTTAGAGGTAGTATCTTTTCTGCCTTTTTCAGCCGTTCTGATTGTGCCTTATTCAAAGGTTTCCGTTTTGTTACATTTATTAAAGTTTGGGCCTATCAAGTTATCGGTACTTTTTGTCTTTGTGAATCTACGCGCATTATTCACTCTACTAGATAGATGGGTATTTAATTTTAAGTATTATGATTTTTCAGGCCCAAATATCATACCAAAAATGTAAATTTTGCGAATACGTTGTGTTCAGTTGCAAACGTATAAATCTCACGGAATACGATTACAATATTGAATACTATAGAATAAAACAATCGCTTTAAAACATGGATTTGAAACAGTTAATTGGAAAATATGAAGTCAACGCCTCAAAATTGTAAGAAAAACAACGACAACGCTATATGATGCTCACCTTTATTGTATTTACCTCTTACAGACACCATTCCCATAATCCCCTTCACCTAATACAAAAGTATATATGGTATAAAAATGTGTACAGTTTTGCGTTTCATAAACCAAATATGCTTCTGTATAAATACTGTGGGTAAAACAAAACATCATCACAGCGTTCTTATTTCCCAAGATGGATTACCGTATCACTTTCTACAGTGACGTGCTATCACGAACAACAATATTCTTCTCTGTTTTTCACATACTGAACGAGTTAATTCGTTCAGATTCTTCTCTGTTTTTCACATACTGAACGAGTTAATTCGTTCAGATTCTTCTCTGTTTTTCACATACTAAACGAGTTAATTCGTTCAGATTCTTCTCTGTTTTTCACATACTGAGCGAGTTAATTCGTTCAGATTCTTCTCTGTTTTTCACATACTGAACGAGTTAATTCGTTCAGTATTGTATTGTCTTCTAATGAAAATCACGCGCAGCAAACGACACAACATAAATAAAATAGCAAATATGAGCTAAACCGAAAAATACGCTAACCATTTAAAATCTCACATAAAATAGTAATTACTGCACCCCTGACATAAAGCAACCATTCTATGAACATTGTAGAAACATTACAAAAAAAAAAACTTTCTACGACCCAGGAAAGAAAGTCCAATAACTTAGGATATCCTTATTTTCTAAAATAGTTTCAAACAAAATATTTTTGTTAAATAAAACTCAGCTCTCTGGTGATCGAGTTCCTTAAAAAACAAATCTTAATATAATTTTACTGTACTATCATGACGTTAAGAAAACACTTGGATTGAAATAGCCAATAAAATAATAAATCCTATAATCCGAGTGATTTCTAAAAGTAGACTTTTCTTCATCAGGGACAAATGGTTTGCTTCGGACGTCTACATTTAACATAGGTAAAGACACTATAATGTTCGAATGTCTACATTTAACATAGGTAAAGACACTATAACGTTCGGAGGTCTACATTTAACATAGGTAAAGACACTATAACGTTCGGAGGTCTACATTTAACATAGGTAAAGACACTATAACGTTCGGAGGTCTACATTTAACATAGGTAAAGACACTATAACGTTCGGAGGTCTACATTTAACATAGGTTCCGAACGTTATAGTGTCTTTTGTCTACATTTAATATAGATAAAAACATTATAACGTTCGGATGTCTACATTTAATATAGATAAAGACACTATAACGTTCGGATGTCTACATTTAACATAGGTAAAGAAGCTATAACGTTCGGAGGTCTACATTTAATATAGATAAAAACATTATAACGTTCGGATGTCTACATTTAACATAGGTAAAGAAGCTATAACGTTCGGATGTCTACATTTAACATAGATAAAACATTATAACGTTCGGAGGTCTACATTTAATATAGATAAAAACATTATAACGTTCGGATGTCTACATTTAACATAGGTAAAGAAGCTATAACGTCGAATTAAAATTGTAGATTTGTCTTAGTTTCTATCTATGTAGTTCGTTTTACTTTTTCTTATATGTCATTAATAAATACATTAACAAATAATACTGTTAAGAATACTGCATCAAATGAACAGTGACTCACGTTTTAAAGTACGTCATGATGAACATTGTTGGAAACACTCAACACTGCCCTTTTATGGAACCCTCCAAGTTTTAAGGTACGCACCTCAAGACGTATATTGTTGGAAACACTCAACACTACCTTTTTATGGAACCCTCCAAGTTTTAAGGTACGCACCTCAAGACGTATATTGTTGGAAACACTCAACACTACTTTTTTTTTACGGAACCATCCAAAACGAATAGAACGAGCAATACAAACGTAACAATTCATATATACTTATAAACAAATAATCTTGTCAATCATGGCTGTAAAAAAAGTTTTCACCTGGTTAAAAAATCATTTTACGTTAAAATAAGCATGGCTGAAAAAAGTCTGTACCATGTTTAAAAAATCACCTTACGTTAAAGTTGGTAATGTTAGTATATCATGTCGGTAACAAAAGTCTGTACCATGTTAAACAAGTGAGAAACCTCAATAGCCGCGCCACTTGAAATTCGTTAAGGCAGTATTAAAGTAAATTAATCTACGAGACCTTTTTTCCTTTTTATTAGCTATATTTTTGTGCGCCAGCAATACCAAGCAGGGGCGCGCGTAAACCCGATTCGATCTTATTACTCATCAGGATTTCTAACAGCCTACCCTCAAACTGTAATTCCTTTAGTAAATTAATCTAGGAGACCGTGGGTACGGTGAAATACATCAATCGAAAGGGTTTGACTTCCTGAGTCCAAAACTGTAATTAGATCTCAAATCGGTCAAGAGATGACGGTCAAGCTACGAGCTAAAAGTTTGTACTTGAAAAACAAAAACTAAAAGTCATTCTATGAGCCGTTGTGCCGCGGCTAAAAGTCATATCACGTAAAAGTGGGTAATCGTAGTCTATCATGGTTCAACAAGTTATGTTGGAGTAAACTGTCTAGTCAATCTTGGTTAAAAATCATCTTCACATTAAAGGTTAAAAGTCAGCTTCAGGTTAAAGGGTATAGTCCCAGTTTGCAGTTATCACCAGATACAAGATCTACTAGGCTAAAATAAACTTTCTCGTTTAAAATATTAAAATTTTACAACTTACGTTTGTCTCCCATGACTCCCATCATCACAATCTTATGTTAGAACTTATGTTTGTCTCCCATGACTCAGATCGCCACAACCTTAAGTTAGAACTTACGTTTGTTCCCTTGACTCCGATCATCACAACTTTATGTTAGAACTTATGTTTGTTTCCCATGACGCAGATCGACACAACCTTACGTTAGAACTTACGTTTGTTTCCCATGACTCAGCCTTACGTTAGAAGTACGTTTGTCTCCCATGACTCAGATCGCCACAACCTTGCATTAGAACTTACGTTTGTTTCCCATGACTCCGATCATCACAACTTTATGTTAGAACTTATGTTTGTCTCCCATGACTCAGATCGACACAACTTTATGTTAGAACTTATGTTTGTCTCCCATGACGCAGATCGACACAACCCTATGCAAGTATTTACGTTTGTCTCTGTACATGTTATTCAAGTTCGTCTCAAGTATCAATGTTACTATATTTCTTATTCTGACATTTAACAAGCTGTTGAAACTTGTCTGTTTAGTAATTACAGAATAAAATTAGGTATACAGTTAAATACTAAGGTATAAAAACATTCAGTAAGAATTATTAAGGTAAAAGTAATCTACTGAAACTGTTATTTAAATCCCATTACTGTTTGTATTTCTTGTTCTTGAAAACAAGGCTTAGTATATAAATAAATATATAAGTACAATGCTCAATTTATCATTCGAAGTACGTTATGCTGGTGTCGGGGATTTCACCCCTCGTTAGTAACCTGGATAGGGGGCAAATCACACGGTAACCCTATATATATATGATATTTTCAAGAATATGTAGCATTGATGTTACTAATTTATTCTTGTGGACTATTTAGCCAGAAAAACTGTTTAAAACACTAAAAATATATACACGAAGCCAAATCTATCATTAAATTTATCACTTGTCACCGAGTCAAACTGGTCTCGGGAATTCTATCCCTCATTAGGATATTCATTTAATGTGTGATTTTTGTTTCACTGAGTTCTTATAGAACGTCTATTTAGAAATTATATAAAACACTGAACTGCATCTACTAACATGTTGACGTTAACACTTTAGTTGGTAGGGAGTTTACACAAACTGGGTTTGTTGAACACAAAACACGTGTTACCAGCTACACAACTACTGACACGTTGACGTAAAACTCCCTACCAACTAAAGTGTTACACAAACTGAGTTTGTTGAACACAAAACACGTTTTACCTGCTACACAAAAACTAACACGTAGACGTAAGACTCCCTACCAACTAAAGTGTTACACAAACTGGGTTTGTTGAACACAAAACACAACTACTGACACGTTGACGTAAAACTCCCTACCAACTAAAGTGTTACACAAACTGAGTTTGTTGAACACAAAACACATTTTATCAGTAGATGAACATGTTTTGTGCTCGATCAAGGCCCCATTGTTAGAATGAAAAATGCCAAAAGCTTACCAATCATAGCTAATTAGTCCATAAGGTAACGAGTTGAACAATTATTGATGGTTGTTAGAGAACAGACATCGATTAAGATACTTTCATGATCATTGTTTCAAAATTTAATAACAGATGGCGCTATGTGTTAAAAAATGTTTTGTTTTGTTTTTCTGGTCACTAGGCTGTGAAGTTTTGACCAGCAATTCTTGGGGAAACATGAATTAAGCCTAACCCTTTCTCAGATATTATCTATTTGTATTTTTTTAACTGTTTTGAAACTGTTACAAAGTGTTAACAGCTCCTTTGAAAAACATGTTTTATATTTGTAAGAAACTAAAGTACGCACGACGAAGCCCTCAAATTATGAAAATACTGCATGGAACTCAATAGCAAAACCGGCTTTTAAACTCATAGTGAAAACAACATGAAACTTTTAAAACTTAGGAAATTGTAAAGTCTGAGCCGTCTGTACTATTTGCGTAATTAATAGAAAATATGTGCTTGCTAGCTGCCCCCTCGCGTCTCCAGCGTCTTGAAATTGCAATACATGAGGCTAAAATACTGAGCTCGACAAATAACGTTAAACTTCCAAAAACAGCCGTTATTGTTGGTTCAAAACACACGATGTCGCCCTCTGGTGGGGGCGTGTCAAACTTCTTTTCTTTGAAAACTGGAAAATAAAAAAAACGATGATAAACATTTTTGTTTTTGTTTTTTACAAAAAATTTATCACGTTACAAATTTTCTGACTATACGTGAAAAAACTTCGAGGTTTTATAAATATTAATATATAGTAAAATAAAACTTTAAAAAAACTATATATGAAACATCTAAAAGAGCAAAGTACATTTTAAGATGGTATTATGAATGTTTGACTTAAGACACAATATGCTCTCCAGTGACTTATCAGTAGGTCTGTAGGCTTACGATGCTTAAATTCCGGTTTCGATACCCGTAGTGGGCAGAGCGCAGACAGCCTATTGTGTAACTTTGCTCTTAATAACAACCAAACGCTAGCTCGTATTTAGAACAGAATAATAATGCAATTATGAAGCATAGATGATAATTAAACCGTAAATAGGATTATGGGATAGCAGATAAAAACCGATATATTTTGGAAGTATTCAAGTATACTGTTCTATGTAGAAAGTAGATTTATCATTCGTTAGAATTTACAACCAAGTTTATAAGTCAAAGTAAAGATGTTTGAAAGGTAAAGTTAGGAGATTCTAATACATCTTATTAGTAAACATGGACGTGGGGGTGAGAAACATAATTCTTTATTTATTTATTCAGCATATGTATACGAATTTTTTTTTATTGAATTCACAATTTCACACTACATTGCCCCGTCCCCCTGGAAAACTTTCTACGGACGCCCACGTGAGTAAAAGTAAAGAAGAGTACGTTATAATATTTCAACACACTATATTTGTCACATTCAGTGCCGACGAAACCTTTCACCTAATACCAAGGATCATCAGGCCAGCTAAGATTCGACAGACACAGTAGTGGTCTAGGCGCTATTTATATCAACTTCCAAGAAGAGTAATTGTTATGGTGTGAATCATATTAAGAAATCAATTTTAATTATCATCAGTTTTATTTAAGCCATTTTTATGATAAGGATTAATAACACAATATTACTGTTTTGATGGAATATGTGGAACTGGGGAAATACACAGATACGTCGTTCTCGGTGGTTTAAGTGATGTTCAGAAAGAAAAGCTGTGAGAAATTATTTACATGTAACGAGGTGATCAATCACTTTAACAAGGTACACGAGAGGTAGACTTTCAAAGTTTTGATAGGTAACAGTGTTTACCTGTTCTAGTTGGAGCCGTGACGGGGGTGGCGTAGTTAGCCTCGTAATAAGGTTGTCCAACTCCGAATTCGGGGGCTTTCACTGCTAGGCTTTTAGCCAGCTTCATGGTCGAGAGAACCTCCCCGTAGCTGCCTTCTGTTGCCTCACGTTTTTTACGCCCGTACGAATACACCGTCTCAAGGTCATCTTCACTCCTACCGGTAGGAATGTTACACAACACCTGGAGATAGAACAGTTTACCTTAGATAGGCTTAGAAACGTCGAGATTTTTGATATTGTCGTACTTGTCATATTATTCCTGTTTTTGTCAGTACGTAGTCAAACCTAAATAAATGTATCAGTGATTGTTCCCTCAAGGAGGAACTTAACCTAACATGAACTATAATCAACAATTTTAAAGACTACCTATAAAATATTTTAAAATTAGTTGTCCTTCAGATTTTGAGGGTTTTAAAGATGAGTATGCTTATGCACACAGTATTATTCGTAATTATTTTGTATTATTCAAGTAAAAATAAATAAAAAACTGTCACAAAACGAAACATATTCGTTGAAATTTATCAGGATAATTTTTCTATCAACAACTAAAAATAAACTATACACTGTCTTTTAATTGATGCTTTAAATGACAAATTAATTTAGAACGGTAAATAGCAAACAGTTCCAAACTGCCATCTATCGGTTGATGCTTTTTGTAACAAATATATCAAATAAGATAGAAGTGCCCAAAGACATTTTCTATTAGTTGATGCTTTTAATAAAAACACTTTATGCAACACAGAATTATCCCAAACTGTCATCTATCGGTTGATGCCTTTAGTAACAGATGTAGAGTTTCAGAAGTGTCCCAAGGCACTTTCTACTAGCTTATACTTTATTAAATATATATTACGCCACAAAACATTGTTCCAAAGCGCCATCTGTTGGTTGGCGTTTTAATCAAATATTAATTACATAATATAAAATTGTTCCAATATTACACCTGTTAGCTGATCTTGAGAAATCTCGCCTTTACAGTGATTTTCTAAAGCGAAACCTACCGGCTGACAATTTTCAAGGCAAGTTTCCACGTCGGCTTCCAGCTCCAATACGCTACTTCCAGTGAAAGTGAAGGCTTCTAGATAGCTCTCTAAAGACTTACTGCTCTTATCCAATTTTCGGACTTCACGCATCATCTTTACTTCTACCGGACATCTGTTGATATACAAAGTAAAAACTTTTACACCTCCTTCAGTATTTAGACAGCGTGCTGACATTCAGTGTTTTAAAGTCCTTATTAATACATCATTAAAGTTCTGCCACCATATTGTATTACATAAATCCTACTATGGAAAGTAGTTACATTCAATATGTTTCACTCATTTTACATCGTTAAGTGTACTTACAGCCCATTACCACAGCGACAACAGTAACAACACATCACACGGTAGCAATAAGTCACAATACATCACAAAGTAGCAATAAGTCACAAAGCATCACACGTCACAAAGTCACAACACATCACAAAGCAGTAATAACTCACATCACATCATAAAGCAGCAATAAGTCACAAAGTAATAACACATTACAACGTAGTAATAAGTCACGAAGTAACATCACATAACACAGTAGCAATAAATCACAACACATCACAAAGCAGCAATAAGTGACAAAGTAACAACACATTACAACGTAACAATACATCACACGGTAGCAATAAGTCACAACACATCACAGAGCAGCAATAACTCACAAAGTAGCAACACAGTACAATGTAGCAATAAATCAGAAAGTAACAACACATCACCCGGTAGCAATAAGTCACAACACATCACAGAGTAGCAATAACTCACAAAGTAACAACACAGTACAATGTAGCAATAAATCAAAAAGTAACAACACATCACACGGTAGCAATAAGTCACAACACATCACAGAGCAGCAATAAGTCATAAAGTAACAACACAGTACAATGTAGCAATAAATCAAAAAGTAACAACACAGTACAATGTAGCAATAAATCAAAAAGTAACAACACATCACAAAGCAGCAATAAGGCACAACGTATCGCAAAACAGCAATAAGTCATAAAGTAACAACACAGTACAATGTAGCAATAAATCAAAAAGTAACAACACATTACAAAGCAGCAATAAGTCACGACGTATCACAAAGCAGCAATAAGTCATAAAGTAACAACGCATTACAAATTAACAATAAGTCACAAATCATCACACGTCACAAAGTAACAACACATCACAAAGTATCAGATGTCACAAAGTAACACACATGAAAAAGTATCAGATGTCACAAAGTAACATCACACGTCACAAACTAACAACTATCAGAAAGTAACAGCACATCACACAAAAGCAGTAAGTCACAAAATATCACAAAGCAGCATTAAGTAACAAAGTAACAACACATTACAAAGTAACACACGTCACAAAGTAGCAACACACCACAAAGTATTACACATCACAAAGTAGTAACACACCACAAAGTATCACACATCACAAAGTAACATACGTCACAAAACAGCAACATACCACAAAGTAACACCCGGCGCAGAATATGACACACCACAAAATAGCAGCACATCTCCAAGTAACAACACATCAAAAAGTCACAAAAGTTGCTCTTACCCGGTTTTGTCAATCAAAGTAATGTTATTTGTACCACTTCCGTCTTTAGCGACGAGGTTTCTTAAAAATATACCGTAAGTATCTGAAAAGATAAAAAAGTATTTGGTTACAAGTAAAAAACTGCTTGCGGACATTTAATATAGTTTTAGACTTTTTACTACGAATGAAGGATTCAGTTCAAATAAAATATTTATTGTAGATTACTTCCAGGACTGGACGTTATATTACGTACAGCGATACGAAGACCTCTTAAAAGTCGGCGGTCATGACTGACACTTGGGCAGCTTTTAAGTCGACGGTCATGACTGACACTTGGGTAGCTTTCAAGTCAACGGTCATGACTGACACTTGGTCAGCTTTTAAGTCGGCGGTCATGACTGATACTTGGGCAGCTTTCAAGTCAACGGTCATGACTGACACTTAGGCAGCTTTCAAGTCATCGATCATGACTGACACTTGGGCAGCTTTCAAGTCGGCGGTCATTACTGACACTTGGGCAGGTTTCAAGTCTACGGGCATGACTGACACTTGGGCAGCTTTCAAGTCAACAGTCATGACTGACACTTGGGCAGCTATCAAGTTGCGTCATGACTGACACTTGGGCAGCTTTCAAGTCGGCGGTCATGACTGACAATTGGACAGCTTTCAAGTCGGCGGTCATGACTGACACTTGGGCAGCTTTCAAGTCGGCGGTCATGACGGACACTTGGAGAGCATTTCACTCGGGG